TCTCCCTGGTTTCTCGAGAAGCACCAGGTGTTAGCTCGAGTTCAGCACATGATTGTGGTCAGGACTCGTGCTTTATCGCAGCCATGGATATATTGAAAGAGAGGTCTCGTGAAATCGAGCTTCTTACAGATTATGTTGCTCAACTTCCAAATCTTCTGCTGGATAACAACATCGACTTCGAGGCTTTTGAGCGTCCGGAGGAAACAGTAGATCCTCGAACTCGGAGTTCTCAAGAGGAATTGTTGATGAGGGTGCACGCTCAGGATACAGAGATCGTGGACCTCAAGGACAAATTGAATCAGTGCGTGAATCTCCTTAGCCTGCACGGGTATAAGGGGATTATTCATCCCTCCCCCAACAATCCTGTCAGGGAGGTGCTTGTAATAGTGTAGAAAATATGTACTTTTCAGTGAGTTCGCACAGCAATGTGGAACGAATGTTTATTTTACTCGAGTATTGATGTTTAAAGCGCTTTTTAGGCCGGATGTAGAGTACACGGCTCTATCATAGGAATTGGGTACGAATTCCTTTACTTGACACTGCGTTTTGCAATGCGCATGAGGAAACTTCCTCAAGTTTGTGTCCGGATATTGAGTACACGGCTCTTGGTCGAGGATGGCCCTAAAGAGGGAGTCCATCTCGATGACTAGTCATAAATGTGTCGCTATAATTGGGGAGCATATGTAATGTCTTTTATTGAATAATTACCCGAGGACCCGGGTTAGCATTACATATGAGAGTATAAGATTGACTGAATAAAGTAAATAAAACACATAAAGGGCAAATAGCAGTCAAGGGCTTAAACATAGAACCTGCGAAGATTCTGGATGTTCCACCATCGAGGAAGGATGGTTCCGCTATCGTCCATGGCTTGTAGGCGGTAGCAGCCTGCTGGGGAAGCTTGGATAATCTTGTAAGGTCCTTCCCAATTTGCAGTAAGTTTTCCAGGGGCTTCTGCGCGAGTGGCCTCGTTTTTTCTCAGTACGAGGTCACCCACAGCAAGATCCGTGGCTTTCACCTTCTTGTTGTAATGTCTGCGAAGAGTCTCTTTATACTTGGCCTCTCGGATTCTGACGGCGTCTCGACGTTCCTCGAGCAGGTCAAGGTTTAGTTGGATGTCATCATCATTGGTACTCTCGACGAAGTTTGCAGTTCGAGGACTCGACAGGCCGATCTCGACAGGGAGGACGGCGTCCATACCGTAGACTAAGCTGTACGGCATCTCGTCGAAGAGTGGGCAGTTGTCCGGTATGCCCACAGGACGTGGGGGAGTTCGTCGGCCCATGCCCCCTTGGCGCCATACAACCTGGTCTTGATTCCATGCAGTATTGTTCTATTGATGGATTCGGCCTGCCCATTGGCTTGGGGATGGGCTACGCTTGAGAAGCAGCGTTCGATCTGCATTTCGTCGCACCATGATCTGAAAGTATTGCTCTCAAACAGGGTCCCATTATCAGAGACGATGATCTTCGGGACCCCAAAGCGGCACACTATGCTCTGCCAGAAAAAATCCAAGATTTTTCTCCCGGTGATCGAGGCCAAGGGTTTGGCTTCAACCCATTTAGTGAAGTAATCTACTGCTACAATGACCCATCTTACTCCTCCTATTCCTTCCGGATGAAAGGGGCCGATGATATCAGTGCCCCATTGGTAAAATGGCCATGGGCTTTGGATGGTGATCATCTCGTGCTGTGGCTGTCGGGTGACGGGGGAGAAGCACTGACATTTCTCACATTTTTGTACCCATTGGTAGGCGTCCTTAAAGATTGTCGGCCAGAAATATCCTGTTCACAAGGCCTTCTTGGCGAGTGCTCTTGCTCCCATATGAGCTCCACATGATCCTTCGTGTACTTCTTCGAGTACGTAAGCTGCTTGCTTTGGGCCGATACACCTTAGCATGGGTTGCAGGTATTCATGCTTGTATAGGATGCCGTCTCGCAATGTGTATTTGGCCGCTTTTAATCGGAGGATCCTTGCTTCTGCTTTTCCACTCGGAAACGTCCCATCTGTAAGGTATTGGATGAAAGGGGTCATCCAAGTGTCGCCGTCCTCGACGATGGTCGCTACAGGGACATCCTGGATACTGGGATTGGGGAGAATTTCGACCCATACTTTGTGGCTGAGGTGCGCAAAGTTTGAGGAGGCCAGCTTGCTGAGGGCGTCGGCTCTTTTGTTCTTCGAGCGGACCACGTGGCGTACGGTGCATTCCTCGAATTTGTCCTTGATGTCGAGGACCTTCTCGAGGTAGCGCTTGAGTTGCTCGTCGTTTGCCGTGTATTCTCCCGATATTTGTTTCACCACTACTTGAGAATCACTGAAAACTTGTATTTTACAGACACCAAGTTTTAGTGCCATGTTTAACCCTACTATCCATGCCTCGTATTCTGCTACATTATTGGTGACCGAGAAACCGAATCTTAGCGCATATGTATATTCTGCGTCGTACTCTTTCATGTTCTTGATGTCGGGATCGGCCGGAGGTTTGGATAATATGATCCCGGCTCCTCCCCCTTCATCGCAACGCGATGCATCGACATATAGTGACCATGCTCGAGGATTGATGTAGACGCGAGCAGTGGGGTCGTCTTTAGGTTCTGCCATTCCTTTGACTTCGATAGCTCGAGGTGTTTCTACTAAAAAATCGGCAAAGGCTTGCCCCTTGATGGCTGATCGAGACTTGTATTCGATATGGTGCTCGCCTAATTCGACTGCCATTTCATCATCCTGGCGGACGCTTCTGGTTTTAGCAGGACTTGCTGAATTGGTTGTTCCGTTAAAACCATGATGGGGTGTGCTTGGAAGTATGGGCGCAGACATCGTGCGGCCAAGACTAGGCTGAGGATAAGCCTTTCCATGGGTGTGTAGCGGGTTTCTGCTCCTTGCAAGACTTTGCTAACGAAATAGACGGGGACTACTTTGCCGTCTTTATGCTGTACGAGGACCGCCGAGACAGTTTTCTCTCGGACTGCTAGGTAAACGTATAGTGTTTCTCCTGGCTCAGGCTTAGCTAATGTGGGCAACTGCTTGAGGTGTTCTTTTAGGTCTTGGAAGGCTTTCTGGCATTCTTCATTCCACTCGAATTTTCTGCCTTTGCGAAGGGTATGGAAAAATGGGAGGCTTCTTTCTGCGGCTCGAGATAGAAACCTGTTTAGGGCCGCCAAGGAGCCTGTGAGTTTCTAAACTTCCTTGACGGTTTTTGGAGTTTCCATGGCTAAGATAGCCTCGATTTTAGCCGGATCAACACTTATTCCAGTCTTGGAGACTTGGTATCCTAGGAATTTTCCTGATCCTACACAGAAGGTGCATTTTTTAGGGTTCGGCTTCATGTTAACCTTGTGTAATATTGTGAAAATCTCCCGCATGTCTGCGGCTACTTGCTCATCCTTATTGGTTTTTATCACCATGTCGTCCACATAAATCTCGATGTTCCGGCCGATCTGGTCATGGAAGACTCTGTTCACGAGACGCTGATATGTGGCTCCAGCATTTTTTAGTCCAAAGGGCATCTTGTCGTAGCAATATACTCCTATCTCGGTGATGTAAGCTGTCTTTTCTGCATCTTCCTGTGCCATGAGGATTTGGTGATATCCCTTGTAGGCGTCAAGGAAGCTTAGGACTCTATACCCAGCACTACCTTCCACCATTTAATCTATGACTGGTAGAGGGTAGCAGTCCTTGGGGCAATGTTTATTGAGGTTTGTGTAATCTTGGCACATACACCAGGAATTGTCAGGTTTTCGCACTAAGACCAGATTGGCTAGCCACGTAGACCATAAGACTTCTTGGAGTATGTTGGCTCGGACTAGCTTCATCGTTTCTTCGTTGATGACATCGTTACGTTCTCGAGCGAATACTCTTTTCTTCTGTTGTACTGGTTTGACATTTGGGTTAATATTTAACCTATGTTCTATGACTTCTCGAGGGGCTCCTGTCATGTCCGCCGGGGCCCAGGCGAATATGTCATGGAACTCTCGTAGCAAGGCGCTGATCTCGGTTAGCAAGGGGTTTTGGAGAGAAACCCTGATTTGGACGGTCTTGGTGGGATCAGACTCATTCAGGACTAACCCTCGCGTCTTGCTACTGAACGAGGGAAGGTTGGGTGTCTCGGTGTCTTCTACCTCTGGTGGGTTGACCGTTTGTCGAATCGAATAGCATTCTGATGCGACGGACCCTGAGTTAAGGTATGCAATTTTCTTTCCAATTCTGACTGCAGTGAGCAAGCATTCTCGAGATCTCTGCTGGCATCCTTTTACTACTCCTACTCCATATTCCGTTGGGAATTTCATTACCAAGTGATAGAGAGACCATACCGCGCGTGCTTGGACCATCCAAGGTCGCCCTAGGATCACATTGAACGGTGAGGGTGCATCTATAAGGGCGAAATCCATGGTCAAAGTGACTGTCCTAGGATGCGACCCTACCGAGATGGGTAGGCTAATTATTCCTGTGGGGATAATGGTATGTCCTGAGAATCCCATTAGCGGCATTGTAGCTGGGCGGATGCAAGGTTTTTTGATGTTCATTTTCTTGAAGCAATCACTATATATGATATCAATGGCGCTGCCGTTGTCCACGTAAACTCTTCCGACTTTTACGTTTGCGATTATTGCTTCTATGACCATAGCGTCAATGTGGGGACAAATGTCTGGGACTACATCGCTATCTGTGAATACGATGGCATCTGTTCCTTTGAATCTCTTGTGGCTAGGTTCTTGTCGAGGGGTTTTGGTGACAGTTCGCAATGAGTTTTTCATGGCTGTCGTAGATAAGACTTCAAGGGGAGCTCCATAAATAGCTCCTACCTGGTGAGTGATTAGCTTTGTTGGATCCGTCGGGGGGAGTTGTTGCAATGGTTGTGGCGTTGGTTCGGTGATAGGATAATGCTGCTGTTGGTGGGCATTGACTCTTGGTTGCCAATTATTTCCTCAGTCATCTCACTGTGGAGGGCCTCTGAAATTTCTTTTTGGGTGATCTCGTGACTGGGGTCTGTTATTCTTCTGTCAGGAAGCTGTTCCCTGCACATATTGCTGAAATTTACCAGATTTGACCCCGTTCTCGATTTCACGCTTGAGCTCTCGACAATCCTCCGTGTCGTGGCCGTGATCTTTGTGATACTCACAGTATTGTTCAGTTGATCTATTTGGATTAGGGGCCAAGGGTTTCGGAGTCGGCAGTTCGTCCCTATGGATCTGGAGGATTTCTCGTCGGAGCTTGGTTAAGGGCTTTAATTGCCTATCCATTTTGGGCAGTGCCGGTCTGCCTTCCTGGGGGATTTTTGGTTTTTCTTTGGGGCCTACCGAGGCGAAGGATTCTTGGGACCTCTTGAGCGTGTGTTCTCGCTGTATATGGTTCTCGACAATAGCCCACATCTCATGTGCATTCCTAGGGGGTTTTGTCGAGAGCTTAACTCTCAACATTGAGGATTTTTCGAAGGGGTTGATACCTTGGATGAATCTGTTGCGGACGTCTCGGTCGTCAATGTTGTCGACTTGCAAGGTCTTTTGTATGAATCGTCTGTGAAAGTCGGTTAGACTCTCATGCTGTCCTTGTCTGATCGAAAAAAGGTCGATGGACACCCGCGATATCCGTTTGCTTTGGAAGAAACGAGTAGCTAGTTTGACAGACAAATCTTCAAAGCTAGTGACGCTTCCTTCTGGTAGTTGCCCAAACCACCGCTGTGCTGATCCGGATAAGTAGGAAGGCAGCGCCTTTGCCATGAAGTTCATGGTTGCGTTTCGGATTCTCATGACTTGAACATATCCTTGTAACCATTGGGAGACATCCGTATCTCCTGAATACGCCTTGAATTCTTTAGGGAAATCGAAGTCTCGGGGCTTAGGTTCATCTCGAATGCTGGGGATGAAGGGGCTTCGGTCCAGCCCTATCCCGATGATTTTGCTTATTTCTTCTCGGATCAAAATGTTCTGGTCTCTTGTTCCTTGCTGGTCTTCCTGGTAGTACGGAGGATTTTCCCTATGCCCATGATATTGTTGTTGTCTTGGAGGCGAGTATCGAGGACAGTGGTGGTATCCTTGGTCATAATCACCCTCGATGTTGTTGCGGCCTCGACGTGGCTCGTAACCGTGCCTGTACTCACCTTTTCGAGGGCTCTTTCGATTCCAATTGAATTCAAGGCGATTATGTGCCTTAGTTTTCCTTGGGGAGTTCCCCTGTTCTCCTTCGAGGATCTCGACGCTCGAGGGATTTGGATTCTCTTCGACGCCCTTCTGTTGGTATATCGCGTCGAATTTCTCGAGGGTGGTGTCGAAGGCTGGGTATCTTTCTCTGAAAGCAACCCAAAATATGGTATCTCTGGTAGCGTGCAAGCGTTCTTCGCGGGGGCTCTCGTAACCCTTAGTCTCTTGGTAATTCTCCTGCTCTTGGACTTTCCGCTTGTCCCGTTTCTTCTCGAGAAGGGCCAGGGTTCTACGAGCTTCTTTTTCGTCGACCAGATCTTCCAACTCTTGTTCTGTAGGGTCGGGTTGTCCGAGGAGACAACGCCGTCTAGTTTCTTCGAGGACATATCTCCGCATCCTTTGCTTTTGATCACTATCATTGCCCAACTTCTTGAGTTCGGCCTCGATTTTGGCCAGTTTCTGGTCTTCCAAATGCTTGGCAGCAGTGGGGGTATATTGAGGGGGCGGTATATCCTCTTTTTCAGGTGGAAGATTGGTGTTGCTTTTTTTCTTTGGTTCAGGCTGAGAAGCACTAAGGACCAAACGCTCCTTGGTTTGTTCTTTCCCAGGTTCTCCGCCGTGGCTTTTTCCTGTCTTTCTTTTTTCTTGCCGGCGTTGGAATTCGGCCAGGGGAGTATCCTCTCCGGCGTCTTCTTTAACTCTGACCATCGTGACGGTTGTTCTGGCAACCCCGATCATTATGAAAAGATGTTAAAGAAACCTCAGGAGGTTTCTGCGACACAAACCCTAATTTACGGGTCCCACTAGGCGTGCCACTTGGCGATGCACGGATATGCGTTGCAGGTTTAACGGTGGAACTCCAGTTAGGGTTTCCTGCAAAACAAGGCCTCGGGGTCTCTCGAGGGTAGACACTCTGATGCTTAAGTCAGTAAACGGGATTGCTAGAAAGTTTTGGGAGGTAATATGTTTGGCTTATAGATTGCGTACCCGAATTACGGTATGAGCTACCCTATTTATAGGTATGAGATTACCTGGACCATTCCGAATCCTCCTAGGTTTTAGGGATTCACACCGTCCTAAGAGTCCCAGTTGGATTCTTCTTGCGGTGAGTGGGCGGTACAATCTCGGTCATGGATCTGGACTCGTCCGAGACCGAAGACAAAATACTCCTTCAATAGGGAAAATAATTGTATACTCAAGGAACCTAGGATTAGGCCTTAGATTCCCCCTTTTATCACCGTTGGAGGAGATAAATAATCACAATAAGATTTTTCTTGCTCGATTTACATCCAACCTAGTGACCTAAGTCATGGGCTTTATTAAAATATGCATTAAAATAGGAGTTAGTACCTTGATTGATACTATTTAGATGTTTCTTCAGAATATGCGTGTCGTCGACGGTGTAGAAGGACTGGCTTAGCATAAAAAAGAATGCACCCACTAATGACCCGACATCATCTCGAGTTACACCGAAGCTCCGTACTAGAGACCAGAGTATTTTTTTGTGAATAGCCCGCCAAATGTTAATATCGAGTGGAATCACCAAGAATCAAACGGTCTGGGCCCAATTGAAGGCAAGTGGAGTGCCGTTGACAAACGGGCAATCAGCAAATATTTGAAGGGCAAAGAGAAAATAGAAAAGTTGGAGAAAATAATTACTCATGACGATATATGTCATGAGAATTCATAAACATGGAATTTCTCGATCTCTTTGTCCCTATAATATGTGTTTTCAGGAATAAAGTTAGTTCGATTATACCAGCAAGGCCAGAAAAGGGCAACAACCAGGCTGAACATAGACACCAAATATCAAAATTCCACTTCACCGGAGGAGGATAATACACCCATGACATCCAACGGTCTCCGAATTTGGTGAGATTGTTCCATTGATGAGCATGAATATATTGTTATTATCCCACACACACATACTCTCCTGTCGTTACTACATTTATTATCGATTTTGCTGAGCTTTTATGCCATTGTTTTTATGTGACGGGACCTTTGAGCACATGTAAGGTGGTCAGCACAATAGACCATATATATCAAATCATGTAAATTATTTGCATGAATAAAGCATTTATCAAGTCTCTGGATTTAGAGAATGATTTATTTTGTCATTAGCATATTTTTTTATGTGCAGTATATGGACTTGGTATATTTTTGTCACTACACCATGATCAGATATAATGAATCTTTCACTCGCACACGACTTTATGAAATAAGGCATGACACTAACATCTATGCTTTCTCAAATAGAGTATTGTCCATCTAAGGTTATATCTATTTGCCTCTCATATCTCTCGGCAACTTCTAATATATGATCTAAAGAATAATAATATGGGACTATCATTCACTAGTTACTTTCTCATGACGGTCATTACCCCTACGACCTTGGGGACTTTTCGAGAATGCATCGACTTCTGTTGAGTTCTTTTCTTATCTAACTATAGCATAAAGATAAAAGTTTAAGTAGTCAAAAATATTCCTAAAATATAATTGGTCGGAGATAATATTCCTAATATGTGATTGGCAGGATGGTTGTTCTGTGACATTAGCCTTACATCACCTTTCTTAATTAAAGACAATATTGTATTTAAATAATTGGTTTTGTCTTTTATATGTTCTGAAAATTCTCCATCCCCAAAACAATGTCGTTTTGGAAGTTCTCTCTCCCCCCCGGGGAGTAAAATAATCTACGAGGATTTCCTCGAGGCTGTATCCAGTATACCCGGGGGCACGGTGCCCCCCTCCTATTTTTTGCACGAGGAGTCCTTATTGTATTTTTCATCAATCTTTTTATGATTTGCAAGTTTAGTCCTGTGATTTTTTTTCTCTCTCCTTTAAAAAATATCTCTAATCTTTAAATGACAATATCTCATAATCCGTAAAGAATTAGAGAACGTGTTATGCATAAAAATTATAGTACTCGTTGAGATCTATTCAATAAGATCCATATCCAATATTTTTTTCCAACTTAAAAATGATCAAATTTCTTTAGGCAGAATTAAGTTGGATATCCAGTACAAACAAGTTGGATATCCGGTACAAACAAGTTGGATAATCAGAATGAACACAGTGGATAACCAATTCAAACAATTTGGATAACCAACTTGTTCTAAATTGGTTATCCATTGTGTTCATGCTGATTATCTAATCAATTTGAACTGGTTATCCATTCTGTTTGTACTTGTTATCTAATTATATTTTTGACATTCACTCTTCAAAAAAAAAAAAAAAGAAAAATGATTGGATATTCTAAATTGGTTATCCATTGTGTTCATGCTGATTATCCAATCAATTTGAACTGGTTATCCATTCTGTTTGTACTTGTTATCCACTTATATTTTTGACATTCACTCTTCAAAAAAAAAAAAATGATTGGATAAGCATTGCAAACAATTTGGATAATCAATAGAAAATAATTGGATAATCAGTGCAACACGTTGGATAATTAGTACAAAAAAGTTTGACAATCATTTTCATAAAAGAGTAAGGAAAAAAAATACTGGATAACCACCACAAAGAAGTTGGATAATCAATATGAACACATTGGATATCCAGTTTAAGAAGATGGATAACCAACTTATTTTACATTTATATTGTTGTGTTCCTTATATCTTTTGATCCGTAAAGAATTATAACACGAATTATATATAAAATTTATAGTGCTCGATGAGATCTATCCGATAAGATCAATGTTGAATATTTTTTTTTAACTTTAAATGCATTTAAATTTTACGGGCAGAAATGAAGAAATGTTTTTTTCGTTTTTTTTAAAAAATGGTTATCCGTTGTGTTCCTACTGATTATCCAACCGGTTTGGGCTGATTATCCATTGTGTTTGTACTTGTTATCCAATCATATTTTTGACATTCACTCTTCAAAAAAAAAAAAAAGAAAGAAGAAATGATTGGATAAGCATTGCAAACAATTTGGATAATCAATAGAAAATAATTAGATAATCAGTGCAACACGTTGGATAATCAGTACAAAAAAGTTTGACAATCATTTTCATAAAAGAGCAAGGAAAAAAAATACTGGATAACCACCACAAAGAAGTTAGATAATCAATATGAACACATTGGATATCCAGTTTAAAAAGATGGATAACCAACTTATTTTACATTCCTATTGTTGTGTTCCTTGTATCTTTTGATTCATATAGAATTATAACACGAATTATATTTGAAATTTATAGTGCTCGATGAGATCTATTCGATAAGATCCATGTTGAATATTTTTTTTGAACTTCAAATGCATTTAAATTTTACGGGCAAAAATGAAGAAATGTGTTTTCCATTTTTATTTGAAAAATGGTTATCCGTTGTGTTCCTACTGATTATCCAACCGGTTTGAACTGATTATCCATTCTGTTCGTACTTGTTATCCAATCATATTTTTGACATTCACTCTTCAAAAAAAAAAAAAAAAAAATGATTGGATAACTATTGCAACCAATTTGGATAATCAATAGAAAATAATTGGATAATCAGTGCAACACGTTGGATAATCAGTACAAAAATATTTGACAATCATTTTCATAAAAGAGCAAGGAAAAAAAAATACTGAATAACCACCACAAAGAAGTTGGATAATCAATATGAACATATTGGATATCCAATTTAAAAAGATGGATATCCAGTACAAACAAGTGGGATATCCATTACAAACAAGTTTGATAGGCATACAAACCAAATGGGTGGATATCCAGTACAAAGAAGTTGGATAACCAGTTCAAACTGATTGGATAATCACCATGAACACAATGGATAACCAATTTAGAACAAGTTGGCTATCCATCTTGTAAAATTGGATATCACCTCTATTCTGTCCATCAGAATTAAGTCATTTTTAAGCCCGAAAAAAATATTCACTATCGATTTTGTTGGATAGATCTCGACGAGTACTATAAATTTCATATATAATTCGTTCACAAATTCTTCACGGATTGGGAGATATGCTCGTTGAAAGATTAGAGATGTTTTTTTGGAAGAGAGAGAAAAAATGACAGGGACTAAACTTTCAAAATATAGAAAGATTGATAAAAAAAAGTACAATAAGGACTAGAAATGTAAAAAATAGGAGGGGGTACACCGTGCCCCCGGGTATAATGGATAAATTGCCGTTTCCTCTCCCCCTCCCCTCCCCCCGGTTCGGTAAGAAATTGTAAATTCTAAAATAGGGGGAGTCTCCCCATAGTGTTTTTACAAAATCTGGCCAATGACCACAAAAAGATTAGATGGGTTACATAAGGAGAAATAAAACAAAGAGGGAAGTCATACACCCGCTCCCAGAATGATCTCTTGTGCCAGTTTACTTATAGCCTCACCAGTATTAGTTTTCTGAGCAGCAATAGTGTTGAAAATTGTTGCAGCAACCGAGGCCTCCACAGCGGCTTCTAGGGCCTTGTCCTCATCACCTTCTTTCCACGAATCACTTCCTCTTTGAAAATCTGTTGAGGCTTCTCCTTGGGACTTCTCAATTCATGGTGATTGACTCAGGTCTTTAGCGATGCCACCCAATAACCCCATCAAATCTTTTGGCTTTTGTAGGAGGTGTGCTTTCATGATCGCCAGAAAAGGAAATTGGGCCTCCTAATTTTGTGTCAACTCTTTCACCAGAATGATTGCATCTCTCCAAATGTATCTTCTTGAATGAGTTGGCTAGGAAACTTCTCCATGAGAGTATTCCTTTGATATAACCTCTTCTGGATAGCGAGGGTGGCTTGCTTTGATTCT